TTCTGTAATGGCAGAGTAGTTTTACAGTATAATCCTAGGCATGTTTACTCAAAAGTAAGCTCCATTGTAGTCACTGGAGATTACTTTCACATAAGTGTGCACAGGACTGCTGCCTGACAGTGCAATCCTATGCACCCTTACCTGGGAGCTAGCCCCATTGAATACAGTGTAACTTATTTCTGAGTAGACAATTAAGTTGCAAGCCACTCCTGGAGCCCATGTTGGGCTGAGAAATGGACTACAAATGTGAAAGTAAATGGGGAGAAATGTAAATAGTAGAGTCAAAAGGACATGAAACACCAGAAGTACATTCTGCACAAAAGTTTTGCATTGAAAAAATGTGCACTTTTGACCCCCCCTTTCTAAATTTGTGTATGTGTTGTACCGATGAAAGTTTATGCCACAATTAAAAAGTTGGTCTTCAAAATATCAGAAGACTCTTGCAGCCACCAACTCTATTGTGCTGGAAATTTCAGAGTAAAGAGTGAAAAACCAAAGAAATAAACAAAAAAATCCAAGCATTTACTAAGTAAAGTAAGGACAGATATGTTGCACTGAAGCGCTTGATAGTTGGGAGGCTACTGTTGAAAGAGATTTCCTAAAGCATAGGTTCCAACTTGAATTTTGATCTCCACAACAGAAGGGAGATGTGGCTTTGAAAAAGAGGACAGAAACATGTTTACATGCCTGGGATGCATGTTGCTGCATAACTTCCAGTTGTTGATACGTTATATAAATTTGTCATATTGAGAACTTTGGAACAAGTAGTGTTATAATGTAACCTTGATTTATAGCTCATGATTGTTGCATTTTGAGAGTTTGGAAACTTTATGTGTTACATTGTAACTCTGGCTTGGAGCTTTTGACTTTGTATTAAATACTTTTGGAGTTGGTTATAAGAAACCTTTGATAACTTAATATTTATTAAGAATGGTCAAATCAAATAACTTTTAAACTAATTTCATATATGTTGCATTTTATGATGCGGCATTAGAGAGCATAGCTGAATGTCATTCTGTTACAAACCTTCTCCTAAACTGACACAATCACATTCAATCTTTGCAATAAAACCAGAGTTTACAATAAATATTAATTAGCCTCCAGATTTCATATATGTAAATGGGACTGACAAGCAGGAACTGATTAATCATAGATTATGGGAGGGTGGAGCCAAGTGGCGCATGGCGGACACTTAGAAGAAGGGCTCCCGGCCTCTTTTCCCTTACATCAACTTGAAGACACCTTTCTACACCTTAATGCCTAGGAGAAGCACGAGAAAACTGACGGGAAGCAAAATTGAAAAAAACTGGAGTGGAAACCAAACGGTAAAAGCTTTCTTCCCAATTAACGCTTCACCGAAAATCTCGGCCCTATTCCCCACTGAGGACTCTAAGATGGCTCCGGAAAATGCTGCGGCAAATACAACACCAGCCTCCCCGACTCCAGCAGAGGCGCCACATACAAGGAATGATCTATGTGACCTGAGAGAGAACCTACTTAAAGACATGACGACTTTAGTCTCAGACCTCCTGAAACCAGTCCAATCCTCATTGAACGACTTAGTAAAAGAAGCCTCTAAGTTGGCGGAAAATGCCTCAGAGATGGCCCTTACACTCCAAGAGGAGGTAAGAACATTGGAAGATTCAGAAAGATCATTGTTGAACTGCATTGCTATCTTAGAGAATAAATGGAGGCAATATAATCTAAAATTTTGAGGATTTGAGGAGGGGGCGGAGGAAGGCAAGGACTTAGTCACGTTTATTTACACTTGGCTGGCAAAGGAGTTAGAGCTTGAAGACGGGGTCGCTCCAGCGATTGCAAGAGCTTACAGGCTGGGAATCATAGATTAAGTATGGAAATATTTCATATCATATCTATCCCACATTAAAGGCATTTGGATGTTAATAGCTTCATTGTAAATCATCTACAACTCAGGCAAACATTTAATTTGATTTTCCTGTTGATATATGATTTGTCAGTGTTATATAGTCAGTAGAATCAGCCACTGCCATTATACACACTCAAAACATTATCTCCATTGCAACATCATAATATCATTATGATTATTAAACAGTTACTTAAGAGATGAAATGGCTGAAGCAAGAAAGTTACATGACTAAGCTGCTGGCCCTAAATACATAAACTTGGAAGTACGTTCTAGTGAAAAACTATGGGTCATATTAGAAAATAGACATAAATATGATGATTAAATCATGATATTAAAAATCTTCCAACAATTAGTAGACACAGTGTTCATGAAGCATTGTTCAGTTCCTTTTACACATACAAATGAATACAGATTATTGTCCATCAAGGTCAGTTCTGTCTATTCAGACTAGAAGCAGGTCTACAGTGCCTCAGGCAGAGGTCTTTCACATCACCTACTTCCTGGTCCTTTTAACTGGATATGCCAGGAACTGAACCTGGGGCCTTCTGCATGCCAAGCAGAGGCTCTACCAGTGAGCCACAGCCCCTCCCCTGAAGATCCTTCTTCAGCTCAGTTTCTTTAATATCTAGGTCAGCTTGATCCTACTGACCCACAACAGCTGCATCTGCATCTACTGTGAGATGTTACAGCTAATAAATTAGTCAGATAATATGGCTTTGATTCTTTGCAAGAAAAAACCAAGGAGCTGCGACTGATGAAACGAGAGCTCAGACGACTAGAGAGACGGTGGTGGCGTGTTTGCGACAAGGCAACAAGAGCATCCTATAGGACGTTTATGAGATCCTATGAGATGGCAGCCAAAGCTGCGAAGAGAGAGTTTTACGTGGCCACGGTTGCGTATGCTAGCTCACGCCTGGCACAATTGTTTAGAACTATTTGGTCATTAACAGAGCTGCCTCAGGGCAGACCAAATACTAGGGAACTGGATATTGGCTGTGAGGCTTTTGCGAGCTACTTTGCAGATAAAGTCTTGCTGCTCTGCAGCGATCTCTCTGACATAGTTGAGACAGTGAGCGAACTCAAGGCCCCATGCACACCTTCTAGTTCTATTCTGGATTATTTCAGTCCACTCAGCCTTGAGGAAGTGAACAGATTGCTCTCAACAGTACACCCAACCACGTGCAGCCTTGACCCGTGCCCTTCATGGCTCATAAAAGCTGGCCACGAGGGGTTGTGAGGTGCCCTCAGGGATATTATTAACAAGTCCTTTGTGGATGGATGGTTCCTGGGGGCACTCAAGGAAGCGATGGTCTTCCCTCTCCTGAAAAAAACATCCTTGGACCCGGCCAAATTGGCCAACTACCGGCTGGTCTCCAATTTGTCCTATTTGGGCAAATTACTTGAGAGAGTGGCGGCGATTCAGTTGCAGAGCTTTATGGATGACTAGACCCGTTCCAGTGCGGCTTTCGGCCAGGCCATGGCATGGAGACGGCACTGGTCGCCCTCACAGATGACCTCCGGAGGCACCTGGATCGAGGCGGCACGGCGGCACTGTTGCTGTTGGACCTGGAGGGTGGTAAGCAGTGGGGTACCGCAGGATTCAGTACTGGGTCTGGTGCTTTTTAACTTGTTCATTAATGATTTGGAGTTGGGATTAAGCAATAAAGTCACTAAATTTGTGGATGACACTAAATTGTTCAGGGTGGTAAGAACCAGGGATGATTGTGAGGCACTCCATAGGGTTCTGTTGAGGCTGGGCAAGTGGATATCAATGTGCCAAAGTACAACGTAATGCATATTGGAGCCAAAAATCCTAACTATAAAGACTCACCAGGAGAGTGATCTTGGAGTCATGGTAGATAACTCACTGAAAATGTCGACTCAGTGTGCAACAGCAATAAAAAAGGCAAATTCTATACTGGGGATTATTAGGAAGGGAATTGGAAAAAAATCAACCAGTATCATAATGCCCCTGTATAAATTGATGGTGCAACCTCATTTGGAATACTGTGTACAGTTCTGGTCACCACATCTCAAAAAAGATATTATAGCATTGGAAAAAATGCAGAAAAGGGCAACTAAAATGATTAAGGGGATGGAACACTTTTCCTATGAAGAAAGGTTAAGCTTTTAGGGCTCTTCAGCTTGGAGAAACAATGACTGAGGGGTAACATGACAGAGGTTTACAAAGTTATGCATGGGATATAGAAGGTAGAGAAAGAAGTACGTTTCTCCCCTTCTCACAATACAAGAACTTGTGGGTACTCAATGAAAATAATGAGCAGCAGGCTAAGAACGGACAAAAGGAAGTACTTCCTCACCCAAAGAGTAATTAGAAGAAGAAGAGAAGAGATTGGATTTATATCCCGCCCTTCACTACCCAAAGGAGTCTCAGAGCAGCTTACAAACTCCTTTCCCTTCCACTCCCCACAACAGACACCCTGTGAGGTAGGTGGGGCTGAGAGAGCTCTGACAGAAACTGCTCTTTTTCAAGAACATCTGTGCCAGAACTATGGCTTGCCCAAGGTCATCCAGCAGGTGCAAGTGGAGGAGTGGGGAATCAAACCTGGTTCTCCCAGATTAGAGTCCGCGCACTACACTACACCAAATTAGAACGTGGAATTCACTGCTACAGGAAGTTGTGGCAGGTACCAGCATAGACATCTTCAAGAGGGGATGAGATAAACATATAGAGCAGAGATCCATCAGTGGCTTTAAGCCACAAGGTATAGATGGAACACTATGTCTGGGGCAGTGATGCTCTGTATTCTTGGTGCTTGTGGGGTAACACTGGGAGGGCTTTTGGAGTTCTGGCCCCACTTGTGGACCTCCTGATGGCATCTGGTTTTTGGCCACTGTGTGACAAAGAGTGTTGTACTGGATCGGCCACTGGCCTGATCCAAAATGGTCTTATGGATGGATGGATGGATGGATACACACAACCTGGGTTCATAAAAGAGAGAGCACTGATATGTTAGGAAAGTAACTCAAAACAATATTGCACACATATTCAATAATGACAAAGAAACTCTAATTTAAGGCAACTATAAAGTTATTACTAAATTAATACATTACTAAATTAATACATTAATAATTGGTAGAAACAACTTACGATGTTCCTGGACTTGCTGTTGGTGGAGGACCTATAAAAAAGAGATTTAAAAAAAAAAACCAGGAAAGAATTTTTAGCATCAAGTAAGGTACTAAACCAATCTATTCACGCTGAGGATGATTTTATTAGTTTCAAATTTCTAATATACAGGCAAAAAACTATTCTTACAGCAGTAATTATCCAGTGAATACTAATACATGTAACAACTTTTGTTCTTTCATTGTACTTAGCAGCTCAGTAATTAGAGTCTGAGATGCTTATTCCCAATGAAAATGTGTGTGAATTTTCAGTTCCCAGTTCTGGCTCATTCAGAGTAATAACAGAAAAAAGACCATATAAGAACCCAGTGAACTTTTTACCACAAGCTTTCATTATTTGACCGATATTTTTTGAGTATTTGCTTTCAGAAACTATGGGAATGAATGATAGAGCCAATACTTGAACACTCAGTTGTAAATAGTGTCAAAAATTCTAGATCTGTTTGCAACATTTAGAACTGTTTCCAGTGTCCAAAGAAAACAGAATAAAAATGAAAGAGTAGTTTTTCAAACCAAATATTGTGATAAATTTTAATAAGATGAAAAGAAAGGCTCATTTCAAAATTAGTCATGAAATAATTTTAAATGAAAAACTGTAGCAAAGAACCAGAAAAAAATATGCAGGTAAGTGCATCCAAGCAGGTTTTGAACTTGTCCTTATGTGACACAGGACAAATGGGAGCTAAAACTGAGGTAGGGGCTGCCCGCCTCCAAGTGGTAGGCGGAGATCTCCCAGGATTACAACTGATCCTGCTGTACTAGGTCTCCCTCTTCTAGCACATGAACATGCATCGCTCACAAGGTGCATAAAATTCGAATACCCATCGTGGGATGACAGTGATCAGAAGATGAAGTCAGAAGTTTGTAATTCTTCCTCTCCTTACCCCAATCCCATTCACCTATACCTCAGATCCTAAAAGTTTCTGTCAGGGGGTTCAAATTCAGTCATTAGAGATTTTTGGCAGCTATGCATTTGTTAGTTCTAATGCAATTACAAGGTTCTCCATGGCAATGAATAATATATTATTAATATATTAATCAATATTAGTTATTAATATTAATACCATGAAACAGTATTCCCGAAACAGTTCCCAGGCTAGCAGCAAGCCAGAAAAACAGCACTAAAAAGATGGAAGCCTTTAGTTAAATGCCTAGGCAAAAAAAATTCTGCTTCTATATACCTTGTGGGCAGTAATAAACATTGACTGACTGACTGGCTGGCCTGGGCAAAAAAGAAATTATTTGGCCTGGCATCTGGAAGACAATAAAGTCAGGGGCAGATGAGCCTCCAGGGGAAAGGCATTCCAAAGGCCCCATCCCTTGGCAAAAGAGTTGTGTTCCACTGGTATCAGTGTCCTTGGGTCAAGTGAAGGATCCACCATTAGTTGAATGAAAACTTGGAATCCAGTCCTTTATATCTATTAGATTTTATATGAAAAGCAAAAAACTAGAATGAGCTAAGAAACTGAGCAATTCCCTCATTTTGTAGAAGGGCTATGATAAGATGAAGAATCATGGGAAAGTTTCTGTTGCTATATACAAAGTCTGTGCTTGTGGAGCCTGTGGAGCCAGAGGTTACCTCTGTCTAGGATTGCCACGTCCCCCCTGGACACAGGCAAGAAGCAGAAGTAAGGTTGCCAGCTGCAGTTTGGGAAACTCCCGGAGAACTGAGGGTGGAGCCTGCGGAGGATAGGCACCTCAATGGGATACAATGCCACAGAGCTCACCCTCCAAAGCATCAGTGTTCTCCAGGGTAACTATCTGTTTAGTCTGAAGATGAGCTGTAATTCCAGGGGTTCCCCAGGTCCCATCTGGAGGCTGGCATCCTTGTGTCTGTCTCCAGAGTGTTGTTTTGTTTTTTACCTAGCATTTCTTTTAAAGTACTTTGCCAAAGAGGAAATCTTACCAAATTTCACAAACAGTACCCCAGTTGTAGAAACAGTCTTCCTGCCATTTGTTGCCACACACTGAAAGTAGCCAGTGTCTGTGGTATCCAGATTTCTTATCCGCAACCGAGACCCATAGCTTGTTGCACGGAAAGATATCCTCCTGGGCTCTTGTACAACAGGAGCATCATTTTTCAGCCAGCGCACAGTTGGAGGAGGATTGCCAGAGACTTTGCAATGCAGTTCTGCTGTCTGGCCTAGAGTAGTGGTGATATTGTTCATAGGCTCATCAAGTGTCAAGAAATAATCTGTCAAAAACACAAAGAAGAGTGTTTGCTATAGCCTGCATTTCTGGAATTCTCTTTCAAAAACAATCAGATCCTAGCCTTTAGCAGCACTGAGAAAATTATGTGCACTGTATACTTTTCCAGATACAAATATACATTAAACACTCAGTTATGCTGGTCCTAATTCAAGTGTTCCAAGGGACAAAGAGTTCCTATGTCGGCTTCCTAATTCTTGTCTCTTACGCATCGTACTACCCTTATTTCTTTTGTTTCTGTATTCTCTTGAAACAAAATGAGATTCCTGCACATTCAGGGTTTACACACATATACTGACTTTGGATCTGGGTTGAAGTATTCATCTTTGTGCATGCATGTACCTATTACTGTGGAATACAAATAAAAATTGCACAGCAGTATGAGGGAAATGTCCATATTCATCTACTGATTTCTTTTTCATCCATTTTTAATTACAGATGTATAAAACTGGCTGTTGGGAAAGTGGTCTATGTCACATTTCAAATGTGGGTATAGTTAGGTTACCTAGGCAGAATAATGGTTCAGATTTTCAAAAGAAGTCAAAAGAAGTTGTAGGAAGATGTTTTTAAATCTATGATCAGCACCTAAGGTAAGTTTTTTACCTTTATGTTTTACTATATTTTACTTACTTCGTTTATACCCCACCTTTCTCTCCAATGGGGGCCCAAAACAGCTTGCATCATTCTCCTCTCCTCTCTTTTATCTTCACAACAACCCTATCAGGTAGGTTAGGTTGATTAGGTTGAGTGTGTGGGCTTGGCCTGGGGTCATTCAGCAAAGTTTTAATAAAGCATGCAAATAATGTATCTACATGACACCTCATCTCAAAATCTGACTCTTAGTGCTTTAGAAACATTGTACAAGCATGAGCCTCTTTCAAACAGCCTTTGCAACCCATTTTAGTGGCTGGTTGCTAATGGATTTTTTGTGTCATTTCAGACACAACCAGGGGTCTTTTCGTAGAAAAAGAGCTGCAGGAACTCATTAGCATATGGTATGCTAATGAGCTACTAGGCTATTAACATATGCCATGTCCCCTGACATCACTGGAAGTGATGTCAGAAGGGGAAGCAAAAGGGGGGGAGGCATCTTCAAAAGCCTCCCCTTTCCTTCCCCAGCTGGCCTGGGGGGGGAGCGAAGAGAGAAGGGGTTTAAAGTTTAAACCCCTTCTCTCTAGAGTTGGGCCACAGAAGGAGGAAAGAGGGAAGGAAAAAGAGAGAGTAGAGAAAAGGAAAGAAGAAAGGAAAGAGGGAAAGAAAGAGAAGGAAAGGAGGGAAAGAAAAGGAAAGGAGGGAAAGATGGCAAAGAGATGGAGGGAGGGAGGGAGGCTCTCCCACCATCCCCCATCAAGCCCCTGCCACCCCCACCCCCGTGGATCCCTTACCGCTCCTGCGCGGGCCCGGGGGATGCAACGACGGGGCTCTCTGGCCTCCCCCAAGCCGCAGTGCTCCTGTGTGGCCCGAGGGACACAGCGGCCAGGCTCTCCGGCCTCCCCCGAGCCGCAGCACTCCTGCGCAGGCCCAGGGGATGTGGTGGTGGGGCTCTCCTGGTGTCCCCCGAGCTGCAGCACTCCTGCATGGGCCCGGGGGACACAGCGGCGGGGCTCTCTGGCCTCCCCTGAGCCACAGTGCTTTCAGCGTGGGGACTAGGGGCAGGGCTTGCCGCCGCCATTGGTGCAGGCTCCTGGGCTGCCGGAGAGGCGCTCCAGTGTGCTCCGGCCCCAAAAGACCCCTGGACACAACCGTTTTAGCAACTGGCTGCTAACAGATTTTATTTACCTTTCATACAAAGCCACCTGCGTCTAGTTAGCAAAGCGAAGTTGAGCCATTTTTGAGGTTAATTGCTTTCTTCCATTTTCAACACTTCTTTGCACTTTGGAATCTCTGTAGTCTACTGTTTAAAATGTCTGCAGTACTTCCAATAGTGTTGCAACCCCCCCCCCTTTTTACCACACAGCCTTTCTCTGATTTTTTTTTGTTCATTCTAAGTTAAGCGCTATAGTGCTAGACCAAAATAGCACTTCAATGCTGTAGTCGGACCATTGCAATGCCTTGCAATTATTTTGGTCTAGTGTTACAATGCTCAATTTAGAATGACCCCCCCCCAAGACCGCTGGGCAAAAAGAAGCAGGGGGGAAGTAGCGCTATTTGAAATGGCCTGAACGCTTCAGAGATGGCTCAACAACTGAATTAAATTTGCTATATGAAACCCCTCTCTGTGTATTTACTCAGAACTGGGCCAACAATGGGTAACATCCAGTTTAGAACAGTAATAGGAAAGGGGCCATGCTAAGGTCGATTGATACTTCACACAATATGGCTATAGAAGCGGCTCACTCTGTCTCTTCTCCATGAGAAAAACATTCTGTAAGCACTAACTTGCCATGCAGATTGCACCCCCCCCCCCAGAGTACTGTTTTTTCTCTATGGCACTACAGCTAGATGCCAGCAGTTTGGTGGTAGTATGAAGACAATGCACATGAGGGAGCTGAACTGTATGGAGGGGTGCCTTGGCACCTGAGGCAGCTCCTTGCTGAACTTCAAGCTAGTTCCATATGCCTAACATACTGTGTGAACACAATGGTTAAAAGTTAACTGAAATGCTTACTAAACTATAACAAGAAGCTCCCCACATGAAGCCAAGGACTTAAAGTTGTGTGACTTACTTCACAGTTAAGAGAGGAATTGGGCTTCACAAAAAGAGAACCTGAGATTTCAAAAACCATCTTAAGAACGTTCATGCTCAGTGTTGTTGTGAGCTGATCATATCATAAGATATAGCTATATGATCAAAGATTATTTCATTTTGTGGAGAAGCGGAATGTTAAACCCACATCTACAGACATGTTAAGCTCTTCTAATCCATTTTAGCTTCTTTCAAATGATACATGAAATACTTTCAGAAATAATGCATCTTTTGGATTAAAGCATTTTTTACAATGTGGTATTAAAATTCAAGTCCTACATCACCCTGGAGTCCCACTGCATTTCATTTCTAGATCACAGGTGCAATGCTAGATACCTAACCCAAAATGTTTGTTACAAAATGTGCACAGAAAACCATTATCTAGCGCAGGGGTCCCCAACCTTTTTGAGCCTGTGGGCACATTTTGAATTCTGACACAGGGTGATGAGTGCAACCACTAAATGGCCACCAGAGAAGCCCAAGTGGAGTGGATAAGAGGAGTAAGTTTTTAAAAATACATTGGGAAATAAGAGTCAGAGGGAGAGAATAAAATCAACACTGTAGTGGCAGGTATTGCTGAAATGTTATTTTAATTTGCACAGCCAATCAGATCTCAAATAGGCAATAAGAAGCCCTACTGGGCAGGAGCCCACTTGGCCCCACCCACTTTCTGAAAACACTTGGCAGGCACCAGGAAAAGTGCTGGTGGGCACCACAGACCCTCCGAGCACCACGCTGGGGATCCCTGATCTTATCCCAGCAGATCAGCTTTTGTTCGAAGGTGACAACCTGGTTTGAAAGAATCACTTTTCTTTCTTGTTTTTCTAGCATTTCACACGCTCCAACCTTGTTTGCAGACCTGCCAATTCTCACATACAATTTAAAGCTAATTTCAGGTGCACTTTGGAAAGTCATCCTCATTCTGCTCAGTTTCACTTCATATAATTACATAAGCAATATTGACAAAAAAAGTAAATTGTCCACGCGGACTCAAGACACAATAAAACCCAGCTGTCAAGCATGTTCTGTAAACTTTGCCACTTATCCATATACCAATCAATAAGATTCAACGAAATGTAAACTGACTGAAAGCTGTGATTTAAGGGCTGCAAGATGCCACATGAATGGGTAAAAGGAGTTGACAGTATTCAGATTTTAACAACATTCAGACTGTGATGTCCTCTACACAGGTTCTCCGTTTCTTTCAGGAGCCTTGGAACAGAAAAGTGTCTGTTGCTGATTAAATATTGATTTTATTTTCCACAAAGCCTACATATTTGACTTCTAGATCATCTTTTTACATCTTACTAGGACTAAAATGTATTTTGCTGTTACATATATTTTGACTGTCAGATCTCCTAAGGATCTATTTAAAGTCTATTTAAAGTCTTTTAGCAGCTTCATTCTTCATCTGTATTGTTCTGGATGCATTTTAATGAGAATAAATGTATCAATTCGAATCTTTATGAAAAACTCAAATTAATAATTGCTATGCTGTTTCTGATCACCTCAATTAAATAATAACCCAAAGCATTTTAATCCAATTTCAAAGTATTTTTTGAAAAGATATATACTTCTTGGTATTGGTAAGATTACCAGTCTTACACTGATTGGTAAGACTGGAATATACAACCCCTCCACACCTCAAAACGTAGGGCCAAACTAGATGTTATGGCAGCCAAGGGTCTTACCTGATCTTATGAATCCTACCAACAAACAACCCCAATGTCTAACGGAATAGTTATGATCACCATTTTAATGAAGAAGGTGTCAAAAGGTTTTAATTGACTATTTTACAAGAAGACTGGGAAAAGGTGATTCCCCTTTCCCCCCAGACAGGCTTCTATCTAATCTGCCCTAATGTATTAAATACCAGGGTGGGGGGGAAACTCACTGGAAAGAGATTGATTGTACATTCTTCAATTCCCCAGCAGTCTGCATTTAATAAAGTCATACTAATAGTGCAGAGCTTGTGAGCAATCACACTGGAATTTGAGTATTAAATTTTTTTACTATACTAAACTTGATTGCACTTCAAAGACAGCAATTTAGCAGTTTTACTGTACAACACAGTTAAAAGTGAGTAATACTAATTTTTGTCCCGCTGACAAGGGTTTTAGACTGCTAATTCACCTTTTATTTATCAAATTTACATATACAGTGTTCCCAGAGACTCAAAACATGTCTGATGTATAATTACCAGATGCTGTTGACCAGTTTTTGATATACTGAAAACGAATGGATACACCAAAGAATTATATAATGACACTGTTATAAGACAATTGGATAGAAACTCAAGA